AAAAAACAAAAAAAAAAAAAAAAAAAAAAAAAAAGTTATAGTGAAATGCACAAATCTTATATTTACATTTGCTGAGTTTTAACCGTTGCGTATTATTTCAGTTTTTATTTCTCTATTGTCTCCTAGAATAGTAACTTAGAAGTGAGCTTGTTGCATCTCATTGTTTGTGACACTAATTCTATGAGACCTTCTTTGACTTAGAGTTGCCTGCGTTTTGCTTGTAAGGCTTGCTTGTCTTTTACCCGTTACTTCACAACAAACTTTTAAAAGAGGACCTCATCCATTACTGGTGGGAATGCAAACTTGTATAGCCACTTTGGAAATCAGTATGTCGGTTTCTCAGAAAATTGGGAATCAACCTACCTAAGGATCCAGCAATACCACTCTTGGACATATACCCAAAAGATGCTCAATCATACTACAAAGACATATGTTCAACTATGTTCATGGCAGCATTATTTGTAATAGCCAGAACCTGGAAACAACCTAGATGCCCCTCAACCAAAGAATAGATAAAGAAAATAGAACACATTTTCACATTAGAGTACTACTCAGTGGCAAAAAACAGTGACATCTTGAATTGTGCATGCAAATGGATGGAACTAGAAAATACCATTCTGAGTGAGGTAACCCAGACCCAAAAAGATGAATATGGGTATGTACTCACTCATAAGTGGATACTAGCTATGAACAATGGATATTAGGGTTATAGTTGATGATCCTAGAGAAGCTAAGTAACAAGGCAAACCTTAAGAAAAACATATGTAGATTCACCTGGAAAGTCGAAATAGATAAGATCACATGGCAAAATTGAGAATATAGGAGTGGGGAGAGAAGGGAGGGGAGAAGTGGAAGAAGGACGGAAAAGGGGAGGGACAAGGAGAACTTGAGGGAATGGGATAGTCGAGATGGAGACAGGACAGAGATGAGAGCAAGGAAAGAGATGCCTTGATTGAGGGAGTCATTATGGGGTTAGCAAGAAACCTGGTTCTAGAGAAATTCCAAGGAATCCACAAGGATGACCCCAGCTAAGACCCTAAGCAGTAAAGGAGATGGTGCCCAAATTGGCCTTGCCCTGTAGTTAGACTGATAGTTATCTTAAATATCACCATAGAACCTTCATTCAGAAACTGATGGAAACAGAGGCAGAGACCCACAGTGAAGCACCGGACTGAGCTCCCAAAATGCAGTTGAAGAGTGGGAAAAATGAGAATATGAGCAAAGTGGTCAAGACCATGATGGGTTCACCCACTGAAACAGTTTACCTCAGCTAATTGGGAGCTCTCTAACTCCAACTGGACTGGGAAGGAACAAGCATAGGACCAAATTAGTCCCTCTGAATGTGGTTGACAGTTGCATGGCTGGGACAGACTGAGGGGCCAATGGCAGTGGTACCAGAATTTATCCTTACTGCTTGTATTGGCTTTTTGGGAACCTATTCTCTTTGTATGGATAGCTTTCTCAGCCTAGATATAGTAGGGAGGGCCTTGCACCTTCCCCAAAGCAATATGCCTTACTCTGAGGAATGGATGGGGGAGGGGGGGGAAGTGGAGGGAATGGGAGGAAGGGAGGGAGTGGGAACTTGGATTAGGTATGTATAATGAAATTTAAATTTTTTTATAATAAAAATTAAAAGAAGTAACATGATTTATTGTTCAGAGGAACTATATTCATACAACAATTATTTCTAAAAGTATAAAAATTGATCATTAGCACTAAAAAAAAGATGCACAGTTCACATTGATGTTAACCTGTTAACCACTTACATGGAATTTTACTGACATTAGAGAAAGAGAGTGGGAGAAAGAATATGTTTGGAATTTTTCTTTTACATAGTTTTACTATGTAATATACAGAGAAAACTTGTATTTGAGTAAAAAATAAATACTCTGGTAGCATTTTTCATTCCAGCTATCCTGGTTCTAGTGCTTTCCCAATAGTGTTGAATGTTGGTGGCCACAGCTTACTCACAAAATAGGAATATTCCAGACAGCCATATTTTTATGTCATCTCAAGGATGAAACAACGTGAGATATTTCAGAGTGATGCCTTTGTATAGTCTTCCCCAGAAAATGAGACCATAAGCATGGATGCCGAGGTACAGTAGTTGGTTTAGTTTTTTAGTCATACATAGAGTGGTTCCTGACTTCTCTCCTTCTAAGTACTGAGTGTATCAGCAGGCAGGGAACTGGGATGTCTTGGTATTTGTGTAATTTTAGTATTTGGCTGTTGAGCATGTTGTAGTGGAACCAGCCACATTGCAGCCAGTGCTCTAGGACTTACTCAGCCTTGGAAGAGGTCTTAACATTGTTATGGATTCATTTGCAAAACTTGGAAGTCCTTGTTAAATCTTGACTCTACTTTAACCACATTCAGGCAAGCAGTGGACTCAGAACTGTCACCTTCACTGTCATATCCTCAGCTTCAACAATAGTTACAGTTTTCATTGCTATGACAAAATTCCCAACAAAAGGTGCTTTAACAATGAATGGAAAGGTTTATTCCTGCTCATAGTCCATGATACTTCATCATGGTGAGGAAGTCATGTCTTAGTCACTGTTCTATTGCTGTGAAGAGACACGATGACCAAGGTAGTTCTTATAAAAGAAGGCATTTAATTGGGGATTGCTTATAGTTTCAGTGGTTAGTCCTTTATCATCATGGTGGGGAGCATGGCAGCAGGGAGGTAGGCTTGGTGCTAGAGAAGTGACTGAGAGCTACATCTCAAGTAGGAATTATCTCAGTCAGATTGGACCTGACATGGGCCTTTAAACCTCACAGCTCAACCCCATTGACACACTTCCTTCATCAAGGCCACACTTCCTAATCCTTTCAAAGAGTTCTTCTTCCTGGTAGCTAAGCATTCAAATATATGAGCCTGTGTGGGTCATTCTTATTCAAACCACCACACATGGCAACAGGAACTTGGGCCAGCTGCATATATTGTGTCGGTGGTCAGAAAGCAGAGAACAGTGAGTGTTTAGACCACTTTCTCCTTTTTTATTTAATTCAGGGCCTTGCCCAGGGAATGTACTGCCAGAATAGGCATGTCTTATTTCACTTAACCTAATGTATGTCATTCCTTACAGGTATGCTTAAAGACTTAATTCTGAAGTGGCTCTAGAGCTCATCAGGTTGATGGCTGTTATTAACCACCAAGTTTCCATTCTCTGTCATAGTCAGCTTGTTGGTGCTGCCTCTGTAGTAGAAATCAGGCTTAAATTCAAACTAGAGTGACAGATGACTGATCATTCATCTGTTACGTTAATAGTACCATGTCTACTCTCTGACCTCTGGTAAGAAGTGCCCATCTTGTTTATATCTTGTTTATATCTGTAGATAACATGGGCTTGGGTCCTACACTACTGTTGGGTTGACTGTCTTCAGGCATTGGACAGAGCCCAAGAAATGTGTACTTCAAGGATTTTCTGGAACCTTGATACATAGAAAAAATGATTTTCCCCATCACTTAGAAATCTGAAAGGGTATCTTTTAACCTCTCTGACTTGTGCTAGTCTGCGTCCTTGCCTGTCAGAATCATCCGGGGAGCTAGATTTTTTTTTTAAAAAATTGCAGATTCACACTGTGGCCTATGAGTAAGATTGTCTATTTGTTTTAAAAATTTATTTCCAATAAAATTAAAATGCTTGGAGTGTATAAATGTAGTTCAAGAAATATTAAAGGTTGAGAAGGTAGATTAGGGAGCAGAGGAGGCAAACAGGAAGAGTTGAAGCAGAAATAAAAAGTCATTCAAAAACCTAGCGAGGTAACTCAGTAGATGGAGCATTTGCCACACTAAGTTGACAGTCTGAATTCAATTCCTGGAACCCAAGTAAAAGTAGAAAGAGAGAACCAGTTCCTCAAAGTTACGGGTATACATGCAATGGTACATATGTTCACACATATACATCACACCCACAGTTAACGAATAAATAAATAAAATTTAAGTAAAGTAAGTTGTGATATTACAGTATGCCTAATTTTTTTTTTCTTTTCTCGAGACAGGGTTTCTCTGTGGTTTTGGAGCCTGTCCTGGAACTAGCTCTTGTAGACCAGGCTGGTCTTGAACTCACAGAGATCCGCCTGCCTCTGCCTCCCAAGTGCTGGGATTAAAGGCGTGCGCCACCACCGCCTGGCTTGTTTTATCAGTGTAGACATTGGAATTTTTGGATGGAAATTTAAGGAGAATCCAGCTCTAGATGTATTTGTATTTACTTTTCTGGCTTAATAAACACAGATGTGGGCTTGAGAGATGGGGACTGGTGAGTGAGATAGCTCAGCTGGTAAGAGCATTTGCTGTACAGCCCGAAGACCTGAGTTTAATCACTAGGGCCTATAGACTGACTCCTGAAAATTGTCCTCTGATTTCCACGTGAACATTGAGGCAAATGTGTACCTCTCAAATTCACACAAATACATGTAAAATTTTTAGTAAATAAACAAAATTTCATTGTGTAGATAACATTTTTTTTATTGATTCATCTATTGTTAGACATTTAGGCTTGTTCAAGTTTCTTACCTATTATAACTAGCATAACAATAAATATGGGTGTACAGATAACTTTTTGGTAGTTGACCTAAGAGTCCTTTGGGTTACTGGCTAAGGATAGCACACACTTTTAATCCCAGCACTTGGAGGAAAAGGCAGGGAGATCTTGGGAGGCAGAGGCAGGCGGATCTCTGTGAGTTCAAGACCAGCCTGATCTACAAGAGCCACTTTGGTCTCCGGGACAGCCAGAGCTGTTACACAGAGAAACCCTGTCTCAAAAAATAAAAAGTCCTTTGGGTATATATAGTAGTGAGTTTTTGAGAAACCTTTCTATTACTTTATATAGTGAGCTTACTGGTTTATATTCCTACCAGAAATATATAGGGCTCTTCTTCTCTTTCTATATTCTTGGCCAGTGTTTGTTGTTATTGGTTTCTTGGCAATAACCATTCTTAACTAGGGTGAGATGAAAGCTCAAAGCAGTTTTAATTAGCATTTCCCTGATAGCTGGGCATATTGAATGCTTTTTCAAATATTTATTGGCTATTTGTTTTTCTTCATTTGAGAACTACCTGTTCACTTCATCATATCATTTATTGATTGATTGATTTGTTTTTATTTTGTTCTTTTTGTGTGTGTAA